CCCTTGGTGGCCAGAATTTGAGTTGTGTTCAATCAGAGCGAGACCTAGGTCTTATTCTAACAGAAAAGCTGGACACCAGTAGAAATTACTCGAGGGACGTCGCCAAAGCCTACGCAGCTTTACACTTTATGCATTGGCAGCTGGGAGCTCTCACTCCCGAACTGTTCTTAAGGTTATATAAGACATATGTGAGGCCACACCTTGAGGTTCATAATATCATTGCACCTCCGCTACTCAAAAGGGATGCTAACGTTCTAGAAAGTGTCCAGAGACGAGCGACAAAATGGGTGATCGGCCTCCGCAACAAATCATATGAGGAAAGACTAAAGAAATTAGGTCTTTTCACACTTAGTTACCGAAGGCACAGGGGAGACCTCATCACCGTCTACCAAATCCTAAATGACCAGGCCCACCCAAATAAAAGCATCCTGCCATTAAGTGACTATAGGCTTCCACGAGGTAACCCGCTAAAGATAGCACACCAGAGACCAAAGACTCGAGTGCGATCACATTTCTTTTCACTTCGTGTTTGCCGTCTCTGGAACGCTTTACCGGCGGCCGTGACTACGGCGCCTTCTCTGGAGATTTTTAAGCGGAAGCTAGACAATCATGCAGAAATGCAAGGTTTGTGTCTCAATGGCTTATCCCCATAAAACTTGAAACCACACTGTCAATGGATAAGCGTACAAACTAAATCCCCACGACCTATTCTGCCTTCTCTCACTCTATCTTTTCCTTAGGTCACCTTTATTATTCCACTTATCTCAACCTATATTGTCCACACTACAACCCATTATTTTTATTCTTATTATTATTACTACTATTCTGCTTTTATGACTACACCGAATGACCAACGGGAGTTAGGTCAAACTCCATTCACGGCAGCAATACAGTCCTAACATACTGCATACTACAAACCACATCTCGACCAATCCCCGCACCACTCCTCCTGGAGTCTACCAGAGCTAAAGCAGTCGAGTGGCGGGACTTACTACGCAGAAGCTCATCGAAGATCTGGAACCTCTACCTCACAATCAAGGAGCGAGCTCAAAGAAATCACTGGTTTATACTAGCTCGTAATCAGGATATTGGATATTGGATGTATCCAAGTCGCATTACTTACTCTCGCGATTATTTAAAATGTTTTCAACCTGTTGATTTACGAGTGTATAATAACGTTAAGAAAAAGCATCATGGAGGTTGGCAGAGATCATTAAAGTGTACTCCAATGCATCAGATGACTGTTCCTGTGATTATGAGCACAAATTGCAGGTCATTATCGAACAAGATTAACTACTTGCATTCTCTATTATACTCAAATGTATATTGTAATACTGGTGTAATCACTCTTCAAGAGACTTGGCTCCATGATTCATATGACGATAATTTAGTCTCCTTAAGTGGGTTCACAATCTACAGACAAGACCGATGCAGCTCAAAGAAGAAGAGAGGTGGTGGTGTTGCCACTTTTATTAATTCTCAGTGGTCTACTGCCAACAACGTCTGCTTCAAATTCTCAAATGACAATATTGACTGTATAACTGTAAAATGTCGACCTAAACACTTACCTAAGTATAGCTTCATTTTTGTCACAAATATCTATATCACACCTTGTTGCAGTCCCTCAGAACTATCTATCTTCGCTGATGAATTCACTATTTTTGCTGCTGCTTCGTTTGGTAACTCCTTATCTATAGTGACTGGCGACTTCAACTCCAGCGACTGCAGTTTTATTACATTGCTGGGCCATGAAAATGTTGTTAATTTCCCAACTCGACAAAATACTTCACTTGATTTAGTATTTATAAATGATTCTGGAATATACGAAGCTCGTAAAAGAGCCCCGCTCTTCAATTCTGATCATTGTATTGTACGAGTCTTACCCAAAATTTACGGAAAGTTACACAGTAAAGCCCTCTCAAACTTGTCTAAGAAAGTTGTTCACAGATGCTACTCAAATGAGAACGTACATCATCTTAGAAACATGCTCAGTGACACAAGATGGGATTTGTTTAATGATGATTCACTTGATGACAATATCTCTAATATTACATCCTATCTGAAATTCTGTTTTGAAATCTGCTGTCCAAAAGAAACACTATTCGTCAAATTTGACCGTTTCTCCTCGCCTCAACTTAAAAAGCTTCGTAGAGAGAAGGAAAAACTGTATAAGATGAAAGATAAAAGTGGTGTAAAAAGAACTAACTTCTTAATTAAGTCTGAAATGCAGAGGTTGAATGTAATATATAACCAGAAATTCATATCCTGCAAAAATCCTTCTAATATGTGGAAACTATTTAAGGAAATCACTGGTGGTAAGCAGATAAACAATATTCCATATTCTTTTGATGTATGTACTCTTAACAAATCTTTTATTTACTCTCCCTCAAATGCCATGCTTCCCAGCATCACTTGTGTTAATAATAGCCCCTTTCCAGGTTTTAACACAAATGATGTTCAAAAGTGCCTCAAGTCTCTAAACCCTTCCCAGAGCTTAGGTCCCGATTATGTACCTAGTATTATTTTTAAAAAATGTTCTGATATTCTGTGTCACCCTCTTACTGATCTATTTAACAAATCTTTTTCCGATAATATTGTGCCTGCCGTTTGGAAGGACATTAAAGTTGTACCCATACCTAAATCATCCACTGGAGCATGTGTCAAATTTAGACCCATTGCTATTACCTCTCCTTTTTTGAAAACTATGGAGAAATTACTTTTACTTAGTCTTGAACCTTCGCTTAAATCCTTTAATGACCCTAAACAATTTGCCTATAAGCACAGTAGAAGCACTTTAGATGCAGCTGCCGTCTTATATCATAACATTGCTTCCAGTCTAGACAAGGGGGCTAAATTTGTTCGTTGCGCCTTCCTAGACTATACATCTGCTTTCGACTCGGTCCCTAGGGACATCTTATTAAATAAACTTGCTGCTAGTCAAACAGAATGTTGGGCTGTTAACTGGTTACATTCCTATTTCTCAGATAGAAAGCAGTACACCGTATATAAAGGGAAGTCTTCCACTTCATTGCCTACTGAAGCTGGTGTCCCTCAAGGCGCTGTTCTTTCTCCTTTTCTTTTTTCTTTCTTCTTGCATGACTTGCCTCACTCTGATGAAATAAACTTTGTGAAGTACGCTGATGATTTAACGGTTTCAATGGCTGTTAACTCCCAGCTAGATTGTACTAAAATAAATAGCTTTCTATCGGAAGTCAGCAAATGGTCTGAGTCTAACGGTCTTAAACTGAATCCTTCTAAGTGTCAAACTGTTGATTTCAGCTTAAGATGTAAACGACAGTTAAAAGAAGTCATCGATTCTCATGACAGTTGTAAAATTGACGACAATGATATAGGAATCAAATCAGAAATTAAGTATCTTGGACTCATTCTCTCTTCTGATCTCTCCTGGTCTTCCCATGTCTTAGCAATCTCCAGTAAAATATTCCGCCTGACATTTTACATTAAGAAGTTAAGACACTCGGGTATAACTCAACCCCTCCTCTTACAGTTCATAAACTCTTGCATCCTACCTATTCTTCTTTATTGCTCACCCTTATTCTTTCCTGGTTTGCTTACAAAAGACTATGTCACAATTCGTAGAATACTGAAGACTGTCAGTAGGGTGAGTGGTGTCCCAGTGGACCACATAGTTAACGTCGTTGTCGATAGGCACTTGACTTCATGCAATAAATTTGCTAAAGGGATTTTGTCTGACTTGGAGCATCCGCTTTACCCTCAGCTTTCACCTTGCATCTCCTCAGGTAGAACAAGGAGTAACTTCAGAAAACTGTATGCTCGCACGTCTAAGTATAAGAATTCTATGATACCATACTTGGCACGTATTTTATGTGATGAAAATAGTGTCAGGCAAGAATTAACTAACCTTTTTTCATCTAGTAAATAAACAATTTCCTCCATCCATCCTTATATACCTTCAAGTTTTACTTTTATTACTTCTATTATATTTATGGTCCTGTTACTTCTCTGTTTTACTCTCATAATTGCAAACACCAACTTATCTCCATGACGGCTGTAATCTTCGTTTTTCCCCTCACCATATCATGTAAAGAGAACGTTATATTCAATATTTTTAAACATGTTAGGATTTCTATACCACATTGGCAATATTGTGTGAAACAAGCCCACAGTAATTTTCACTTGTGTTATTATTATTATTACCCTAGCTGTTATCATTATTATTGCTATTTCCATTTTATATGCTGCATGTTTTTGACACTACCTCTATTGTAAATGTGGAAAATCTTCTGTGTGATCAATTTTATTTATAATTTGAGGAAATTAGATGCAATATTGTGATTAATGCTGAAAATTCCATTCTGTATCACAAGTACTGTTTTGGGAATAAAGTAAATCATTATTATTATTATTGTTACTATTAAGCGATACTACAAGTGAATATTCCTCCCACAACTGTGTGTTTCCACTTAGAGTTACAGCGATGCAAGTTACTACACTCCATACAACACGCGAAGGTAGAGGAAACGAAAAATTAACCCGAAAACTGTAAGGAGTGGAAATGTACTGAAGAAAAAATCAGCAAGTAGAGAAAAATTAAGACTCAAAAAACCTGGAGAATGACAAAGAATAAATGTATTTGCGCCATACAACCATATTGCCAATAGTCTCAAGCCATTGATGTAGCTTAGCATTCCAAGGATTCAAACCACGCAGTCTAACCCCCTCCTACGTGGCTCAAACCCACAGTCAGAGACCTGAGGGATTGACCCCAGGTTTTGGTTTGACCACTGTCGTTGCTCAACGAAAAATGAGATGGCTCAGCATGTATGAAACACGCTCTAGCTTTCCCAACCGATGTAGCTTTAGAGCTTTATCGATTGACTTGACCTCGTTATCTAACACTTGCTAGTTGTTGCTAAATATAATTAACCTGAACAACATCAGGTTTAATGATTATAACAATGTGAAATAAAGTATCTAAGGACAATTAAATACATCGACATTTAGATGATAAAACATACTTTTAATAGTACTTTCATAGAAGGTGATTCATTTTCTGTTGTTTGTTTGGAATAATCACCATTTCGATAATTAGATGACTTCAATTTCCGCAATGCATCACTTAAAGAGTCATTTTGAAAAACGGATGAAAAATGATTTTCATTCTGTTTTAATCGAAGTACATTATTACTGTTATTATTAGTGATATTATTGTTGTTCAGTTCAGATGATTTCTCACAGCAAATAGAATTGAGTCCATGAATACATTCTGAATTGACGGGTTGGATATTTTCTTCAAGAGATAGACCAACGGCATCCTCGTCAAAAGAAGAATTTGATGACTGATGATTAGAAGAATGAGGACCCAAAGGATTTTGACTTAAATTCAAGGATTCAAGGTGTTTAAGCCAACAGAGAAGTTTAAATACCTGTAGAGATTAATAAAAACTTTTTTGAGGATGAAAAACAAACAATGTAGATATGTATGACATATACATATTTAGGATAGACAAACATATAACCCAACACAAGAACATAGACAAAATTACGAAGGTGTTAAGGGATATAACAATTACACATTAGCATGAAAACAAATAAATGTGAACTCATAAGATGTGAAGCCATCTTCATGAAAAGTGTAACAGCATCCGTAAAGCTGTCAAGATTTGAAAGTAAAGTTACTATAGGTCTTCACCTATGGACATATAACATCTTAATGGCAACAAACGGGGAATCCAAATTTTGTATATCACTTGAAAGAAGAATATCAGTGTTACTTGTTTGACGTCAAGACTCCCAATACTAATATTATTAATTAACAAGCTTGATAAATATCACGCTTATCTCAGTCAGAGATTTATCTAATAAGTTATTAGAAGTGCCCAGCATATTTATCTCATTCTATAACTGGTTTTACCACTGGTAAACAGTTACTAAAGGTCGTTTGTGATCGTACGTAAACAAAATCTATTGGATGATGATCAGTTGTCCTGAGAAATCTTTATTTCGACTTATCAGATCCATTAAACATATCGATTAGTGCTAAAGACTACCAAGAATACAAGCAATTTGTTTAAAATATACATTCTGTCGTCATGTGTAGACATAAGCCGTAGTAAATAGATGTCTTCGAAAACACTATAGTATAGTCTGTCTGGACTCAACATAGAACTTGGCACCGAAGTGCAGCAGTTCGAGTTACCACGTTCCAAATAGCACACAAAAGTAGACAAGAAGATAAGTGAAGAGAATCAACAGAGTTTGACAAGTATAAGAGTGGAACAGAATGGGTAATGGTAGAAAGGAATATGAAAGATTACAGAGACTGAATACATCTACGCTGGCCATTGACAACGATTTTGAGCCATGTCACCTATTGTCTCCAGCCATTGATTCCTAGAGTCCCGAGGCCCCCAACCCGGAAGTCTGCATCTCCCTACCTGACTCAGTTTAACTGTCAAGGATTTCATGGATTGATGCCATGTTTTTGTTTGGCCACCACCGGCTTTGTTCCAACCTGCACCTATATCAGCTAGTAATGCCCGTCGGGGGAGGCGATGGTTAGGCATGCGCAGCACGTGACCTAGCCATCTCAATCTGTGTAACTTTATAGCCTCGTCGATTGATTTTCCCTCTTTGCCCAACACTCTACGCCTAACGTCATCATTACTTACCTTATTATACCACCTAACGTGAGAAAGAGATCGGCGACATCTAAGATCGAAAGCAGTCAACCTTTTCATGTCTTCAACTCATATTGGCCATGTTTCAGAGCCATAGAGAAGGACGGAGCGAACTGCTGAGCAGTACACACGTCGCTTGGTTGACGGCCAGATGTCACGCCTACGCCAGAGATGGTGTAAGTCAGCGAAAGCAGCTCGAGCTTTCTGGATCCGTGCTGAGATTTCGTCGCCAATCAGTCCGTTGGTGCTGATACAACTTCCCAAATAGGTGAAGTGGTTAACATGTTCTATCACTTCATTTCCTATCACTAAGCTAGGAGTTGACGTAGTCCAGTCCTGTAGCAGCATCTTGCATTTTGCAGGGGCGAATCGCATGCCGAACATACGAAGATTGCTGTTCAAGGTGTTCAGAAGACTCTGCATTTTGTCAGCATCCTCCCTTAACAAGACTATGTCATCTGCATATTCTAAGTCCATAAGACTATACCCTGGTAACAAGTCGATTCCTAAGTCGTTACGTTCAGTTAAGGATACTTCTATACTATAGCACAGTACAGACAAAGCCCTCTGACACACTTAAACATAACATTGTTTGGTCATCTAACTTTACTCGAAGTGTTTCAATGTAATCAATTTCTTGAATGTAATAATTTAAACTACACATTAATATACAATTACATTTGACTCGCTCCATATATTCTTTAGAAGTTTCAAGTATTGAAAGCTGGCATACGAATTGTGCTCTAAAATTTTATTTATATATATATACATCAAACTTCAGTGTTTGCACATCTTCATTTTTTAAAGTCTACATTAGCGACACTAATTACATCTACTACTGTTATCATATTATCTCTTATCAACCACACCAGACCGCTAATGGGCGAAAAGATCAACTTCATTCACAGTAGCAACACGATCTTAACGCCCCACATACTACAAGCCACATATAACCAGTTCCAGAATCACACACCTTGAGTCAACCAAAGCTACGACAGTCGAGTGGTGAGACGAAGAACACATGAGTTTACCGAAGACCAGGAACCTTCACCTTAAAAACAAGAAACAAGCAAGCACACAGAAACCGATTTGGTTTACACTAGCTCGTAGAAACAATATTGGACTTTGCACCCCATAGGGAACAGTGGTGAATTATTTACTGAAACATCAGTATGAATGGCGGATTAAAGCCTAGGAGAGAACTTAATTCCACAAACAAATTATTTTAGGTTACGCCGAAATTATCTTATTGACTGGTAAATATATTCGGCCTCCACACTAGTGTGGAAATATAAACAAACAAATGAAATAGTGATTCTACCGGAAGATAGACACACCTCTTCAAATGAAGACAACAGGTTACCAGCCAGATCCAATTCTCTTACGTGTTCAGCCTCTTTGAGTAATTCGTCCCTGCGACCAATCTTATCTATATTCTCACAATCCATTGTTAAGGTCCATGCAGGGAACAAAATATTTTCTCCTGAACGGTTACATGCTTTTTGAATGTGTCCGACAAAAATGTGGCTCTCTGTGAGCTTTTCGTGCTTTTTCTGTATTGCTTCAACAAGGGTAGTCATCTTCCCATCAGATCTTAACAACAACAAAAACAACTGAAAGAGCGCCAACCCAGTGAGTTCATTGTAAGAGATCGGTAAAAGAAAACTCACTCCTAAAACTCATTAAATAATACCACAGGAATAGATACTGTTAAAGACGTCCGATGTATTTGGATTGTCTTGGAAAAGTTTGAAAAGAATTATGATGTAGCTGTACAATTACTCAAGATTTTAAGTTCATGATATATGACATTGAGTGTTGTAGAGAACTCTTCACCCTTAAATTGTTTATCTCTTCTATTTGGTACATATTTGCGTTGTTCTCCTTTGGTTTTATAAAATGCGTAGCCAGACATATACTTCAGTGCATAAAACTCTGTCATGATTTGAGTAAGTGAATTTATTCTTCTCAACTTTTCTTACTATGACAAACATCTAATATCCAGTGTCGTTTTAGCTAGCCAGTATAGACCAGTTTGATTTCTTTGTGCTCGATTCTTGACTGTGGGGTGAAGGTTCCTGGTCTTTGGTAAACTTCTACGTATTCCATCCCACTCGACTGTCGTAGCTTTGGTTGACTCCAAAAGCAGTGGTGCTGGGATTAATGATATGTGTTGCTTGTGGTATGCGGTGTTAAGACTGTGTTGCTACTGTGAATGAAGTTGATCTTTTCACTAGTCAATACCCCGGTGTCGTCGTCAAAATAAAAGAGATAATAATAACTACAGATACAACTAGTGTAGGTTACTGAGACTAAAAGGTGGAAAAAAATAAAGAGAACGCAAAAACAGAGAGCTAATTAAATTTGAAGCCGATATATGTACATATATAAATATAAATGTAACATCAGTAATAATAATCACGATTATAATCAGTGTAAGTGCAGTAGTTGGATCAGTCAGGAGAGTAAGACAGGAGAGGATGTAAACAAGTGCGTCGGTGGCACAGTGGTTAGGACTCTCGCCGACTATGCACATGGTCCGAGGTTCGAGCCCACGCCGGCGCACACCTGATATCTATGGTCGGCCTGCAAAATTTGGGCTACCGATATCCATGCTGAAAATTCCATACTTGTACCAAAAATACAGTGTGGAATCAAGCTGTAAATCAAAAAAATAAAAATAAAAATGACAAACTTAAATGTCCACCCATTAGTGCTGTAAAGGATTTTAAGAGGATAGGCCATTTTGACTGAGTCCTTGTGTCACTGCATGAGTGTCCAGCCCTCGTTTAAAGCTGCCCACAGGCGGTAGCTACATCAACTGGTAAAGAGTTTCAGGGAGGGCAAACCTGCTGAGGAGCGAGTGTATCTAATTGTTTATGTGCAAAGTGTATGACCGCGTGTGTCCTCATTACATTCCATGTGTAATTCATACTCGCATCCATTTGCTCCTTTAGAAGTAGACCTAAGTCACGCTCCGAAGTTGTGGAGGACAAGCTTTCGTTGCACAGGATGTAACCTGCATTCTGCAACCTACAGGTGAGTAATTTCCCTACTCTGCACTTTTCAGCAATAAAACGAGTCGGGCAGCTTAAACAGCATAGGAGATCACTGATGAGAGTGAAAACATCAGTGGTCCTATGAAGGAAACCTGAGACACTCCTGATGATAAGCCGCGCCAAGATGATCGAACTCGATTGACCTTAATGCGAAATTTCATCTCAGCTAGGTAGTCCTTCAAAGATGACAGAAGTGGTTTGCCTATGTCTGCCTGACTTATTTTGGAAAAGATCATGATGAACTATGTCAAATACCTTCTCAAAATTCCAGTCCATACAGCCATATGCACTGGAACATTCATGTCCCACCATGATGTTCAATCGTCCCAAGCTGATTGTAGGTTTGTCAGACGGGATCTGCCTTTCCCGAAACCGTGATGGACATCATGGAATCTATTAGTCCTATAGAGGTGCTCCCTGGTGTGATCACATCAGAGAAAACTCAGCCCATTTTCTGAGTCATTCTGAGTCGGACAAAAGCCTCCGCATTTCAGCATAGCCTGCCTTCTTATAGTATAGCCATCGCGTAGCGTCCCACTGTAAATGCTCAGGGAGAACAAGATCGAACCCTATGACTGCGTGGCCTCTAATTCCCAGGAGGTAATGGTCTGGACATTTTCGATGGGCAGTTGATCACTAGCTAGAATATAATCTAGCTTCGATGACTTTCCACTAGAGATCCACCTAGGGTCGTCTCAAACATTCTCAGTCAATCCTGAGTTTCTAATGGTTTGCGGCATATTTTGGCCGCATTTCTCCGGAGCATATTCCGAGTTAAGCTTCAGTGATGGGGCATTGAAATATCCAGTTATGGTGTTTGGTCATAGCCCAAGTTCCGTATAATAACCATCATCTCTGGATATGCGAAGACAATATTTCTATATTTCATGATGTGCTCCATTGAATGACTAGTTATCACATCGTTCCCACAAACCAAAGACAAAGACGAAAACAGCATGTAATTTTATTAAATCATTATTATTAAATATGCTTACTAATCGTATATGTAATTTATCATGTTGATGATGCCTGTAAACTGGCATGCCTTCATGTACAAAATGAGAATATATTATTATTATTACGAGAAGAATTCAGGCAGGTTTGTGAGGCGGTAGTCAGGGATGGTCTGTCATTTGGATAGGGCTTGCGGTGGGAGACACCTGTGTGATAATCAGATATTAGTATATTAGAGATATTAGCATCCGCGTTTGGTGCCGGCCCCGTCAGCTCTTTCCAGGGGAATATGCCTTGCCATATCTATAGACCGTTCGCAGCACCAGCAAGAAATTGATCTAATATCATGCGCGCTATGCACAGGATGCCAAGCGTTTCTGTTAAATGACGCTGGTGAAAATCCTCTCCGAAGCGGCTAGTAGGGGCAACATTGTTGTGAAAGGTATAATCGACATGAGTATTCCGTAGTTTGTTGCCAGAATAAAAATGAAGTGTTGGTATCTTTTTCGGGTGGTTATCAGACCGTAGCAGGTTTTGTGCAAGCACCGGCACATGCTCCCGACCAAATAAGTTAGATGCATGAATGGGTTCAGTGGGCTTATTTGGCTTACTAAATGTAGTTTATAGCCGATGTTGGGTGGACTTTCTATAACCTTCATTTGATAGAACATTAGAAGAGGGCTGGCTGAAAACGGGTTTGCGTAGTGGATGAGCAGAATAACAACGATTGTCTCGCTGTGTTGTTTGTCTAGAATTGGTGATTGCATATAAATGGCTTTCCACTTGAAACCAATTAGGCCTACCTTTTTGAGCTTGGTCTATCATACTTGACTTTCTCCTAGAAAGATGGCTCGTAAGTGCTTGCGCCTCCATCATATCAAAGGGCTTTCGTCCTCTGGGTTCAGAATTTAATTTATTCACTTAGGTTTCCCCTTTCCTATTATTAACTGGTTGATGATGGTTAACAGGGCAGTCCGTACATGCTACATAGGGTTTCTGTTGCTTGGACACCTCCGGCACTTTAGTTTTCTTAATCGAAATGGGACGTTTGGTGTAACGTCTATAGGAATTGCTAACCTAGGTAGCTATATTTGACTGGTGCTTCACAGTGGATGCATTTTCAGACTGAAGAGTAAATAATTTATAAGGAGATTAATGAAATACCAGTGGGATGGGTTTTGATAGATTTCGGCTCTTGACGTTTGTGTCAGTGTGCAAACGATGTATTTCAACATTATGTTTTGTTTAATTCATCTATGTCTACCATGTCAGTGTCAGAATCGGTGTCTTTGTATAACACTTGGCCAGTATTTGTCAGTGTCTACGAAAATGTCCGATGCACGTGTCCAACAGGTACAACAATGGACGGAATAACGCATTTGCGTCGGTGGCACAGCGGTTAGGAATCTCACCGACCATGCACATGGCCCGGGGTTCGCCCCCTGCCAACAAACACCTGATATCTATGGTCGGCCTGCAAAATTTGGGCTACCGATATTTATGCTGAAAATTCCATACTTGTACCAAAAATACAGTGCGGAATCAAGCTGTAACAAATAAATAAAAAATAAACTTCATCTACAGTTGTCCTATTACAGTAATCAGTATTCATTGTTCCAGAGAGGCATCGTCTCTGGCATGGTGTTAAATCAGGTACAATCCTAATGTGAGTGTAGGGTGTTGGTAGGCCTATTATCTTCCCAGATTTCAGGAAATTCTTATATTATTCAATAGACTTGAACTTCAAAAGCACCGGACGTAAGCGGTTTGCAGATTTCTCACAAAGACGCAATGCCTAACATTTTGTTAATGACATATGGCAAGCCCTTAGGCATGAAGTTTTAAGTTTGGCGATAAGCTCTCTGTCTGGGTTGTTATTAGTCAGAAGTTGTGTAAAGACATCATCCCTTTAACAGCTTCTTCAGCTAAATAGTCAGTTATGCGCTTGGATTTGATACATGATTCTAGATAGATGTTTTGTGATGGGTCACACAGTTGTGTGAGCAAAATAATACTGATAAACTTGCTCTGTAGGTCTGCTATTGATTTCTGAAGTTTCAGTAAATCATTTTTGCTAAGAGCTGCATTATCTATCAGTTCCCATATGATATCAGATACGATAAATTTGGCTGTGTCTTATGTCAAAAGTCTAGAGTTGTCTACGGAGCTGAGGCCTTCAGATGGTTGACGAGTATTAGATCTCAGTCTCTTAACGGTACTTACACGTTTGACAGACTTAAACATTACAGAAATAAGAATTTTCACGATATCCGAGAAAAACGTCTTGAGGATATGAAAAAGATTGTTGTGTTCTCGAAGTATCAAAAACAACGATAAAAAGCTATATATTGCAAAATAAAAAGTCACACTTTCCTTCAATAGTACTGTCTGGGGATAAAATCCTTAGTCCCACGTGGTTAGAATGGGTATCAAAGATTCCGCGCTGTAGAATACAATATATAGCTCCAGGTGGCAATACAATCCTTGTCAATCACGTCTCATAAACCGTTAATGCCCAGCTCTCGCTACGCTCGGGCCCACGCTGTTCTTCTAAGATTTCAGAAACG